AATAATGGATGCATTGATATCCGAGATGGAGTCGCTGAGCCAAATCTCTGTGAAGCATAGAACAGCAGAGTGTGAGAAGTCAGTTAGTCCGGCTGACGAAAAGGAGTTCATCCATTTTGTTGACTAAAGAGCGGAGAATTGCTAGATGGATAGATGGGAGCGGCGTCTGGGTCCCTCTGTGTTGTAACTAAACCAAGGCCTCTGCTGTCTTCCCTCACTGGCGTGTTCTCCAAGTCCCATAGAGGGCTCCTGCCCCTCCAGCCAGATTATCCACACAGCTTTTTTGCATTAGCAAAAATAGGAGAAAAGGTGTTCAGAGTGAGTTGTCTGATGTTTAGTAGCTCTTCTCTAGAGAAGGCCGAGAAAATGAGGAAAAACAACAAACACTTAAGAATGCATGCTACCAAGGCAGCCATCCACGCTATTTATTTATTTTTATATTAAAAAGTACTAATCAGAACTGCAATGTAATCCATAAACAGCAACAGCCTTAAAATACTTGCTGTTGATTTGAAATTCAAGTTTGAAAGCGGTTTGCACTTTTCAAATTTCTATAGTATCTGAAATTAACTTTCTTTCTTGGAAAAGAAAAGCATATATTATTTCCTCTGTGGCTCTCACACAGTGTGATACCAGTATCAAATGAAACACAACAATGTATCTTTGTTAGAAAGCTGACCAAAATAATAGTACTCTACTGGCCAATTAGTGTACATTCAGTAATTATCTACAGATAATATAATGCTTGCTAAGCAAGTTCATTGGTATGTTTATGCGTGTAGGTGTTTGGTGCTGTGTAAATGAGCTTAAGAGGTTATCTAAAACATTATTAATAGTTTGAATGTATGTGAAAGGAGAAATCCACATAATAAAATAATGTATGTTCCTAAAAGCCGCAGGAGGTCATTTGAAGTAATTTATTCCAGTAGAACAGGTCAGTAGGATGCAGACATTAGTTTAACTTACTATGTGCTTACAGACAGAAACAAATAAATGAAAGACCAAAAAACAAAGCAGATGGAATGTTATAAATATAGACAAAGAAATAAAAGAGAAATACAAGTCTATTATCTTACCATTTTAGCTGTTGCCATGGAAGGCAACCAATCAGTGACATGTATGCAAAAATGTGATGATGTTTTCATTTAGATTCTAAGGCTGGGAAAATGTGTCATCTTAGAAGACAAAAAATAAATAAAAAATTATCTTAATTGCAAAACAGCTGAGTCATAATGAGTGGCAGACTGTTTATAGCTTCAAAATATTAGCACTACTGTCTCAGCAGATACACAGCAGTCCCTGACACTGGCTCAAGGAGAGGATGCTACATCCTCACCCTAGTGAAATTCTAATATGTTGTTTAGATAGAGTGACAAAACACTGTGCATAAAATGACTATACTATACTAATCTAGTGTGTTCTACATGTGTGTGATGCATGTGGTGGGTATCCCACCCACACTTAAATCCATAAAGGATCCTGGTTTATATGTGGAGCTGTCGCAAGCTTGCTGGCATTATCAAGGAGTGACCTGATTTGATTTAATCTCATTAATCTCTCTCTCACAAGATTAGTATACACACCAATGGTCCTCTATCAGACACGTCTCAATCTACAATCTCTCATCATCATCCCCCCTCCACACCCCGCAGTGTGAAAGCCAAAGCCTCTGTCAGTCATTCTTCACTAAAACGTTCATAATCAGCGGGTACTCCAGTGTTAACTGTGACAAATACCTTAGGCATGCCCCCATTCACTTTCCTCACCTTTCAGATGAAGCCATGTGTGTGATTGCGATGAATGAAAACAGGAAGCATTTGTTGACCATGGAGGGGGAGCAGATGAAACATTACTCAGTGCTTCTGGCCAAACAATGGCGTCACCAGATCTATTTTAGGGGGCTTTAGCCCCAATAGAATTTCCTTTAGGCTTGCTGAATAATTCACTCTGCCTTTTCTGGCTGATTTATAATGCAAAAATATGAAACAGATTCCAGAATTACATTACTCATGAAAAGAGCTGAGAGTAGGAGCCACTGGAAACTGCTGTGTAGGACAATCTGTGCATTGCTGAAACCAGCTA